CATTTTGGCTTTGTGAATTTTAGCTTTTCATATTTATTTTATTTTTCCCATTTCTCGTCTTCTTTTGTGTGATTGCAAATGTGTGTGTTGGCTGGGGCAGGGTGTCGGTTGTTTGAAGTGATCTTTCTTGCCTTTTGTTGTTAATAATTAAACTGTAGCACCAAGCTGCTGCTGTTGGTTAATTATTTTATGGCCCATCTACAATCGCAATCGTTGGAGGCAATATCCGTCATTATCTGTCACCCGTCTTTGCTAACACTGATCTAATCAAAACTAAATGGCAAAACATTAGGATTAACGTACAATTTGTTAGAATTTGATGTTATTGGAGGTCAAAGTCAAGATCAAACTGTTAATTTCAACCAAAAGTTCTGCACTTCGTATCTAAGTTCTAGCATTAGGTTCAAGATTAAACTGTCAAGCCCTTGAGGAAGCGTCATGTAAATCCAAATTCAAGAGCCACATAAATCATATGGATGATTCATCTCCATGAAGGAATAATAAAGATTTGTTATCTTTTGTATTCATTTGATCTATATAAACTCTGCTATCAAGAATCGCTACTAACTTGTGTAGAAGCTGTATTTGAGCCATGTAAATCTTTGTTTAGACAATCTCCCTTATTGTGCATTTATGTGTGTGTGTGTACAAATATGACTTAGTTTATTTTTCCAAATCTTTGTTTAGTATGCTTTTCTTTTTTCGCTTTGTGTTTTGGAATGTTCTCGTGTTAGTTTTCCCTATTTTTTAATGATTGTCAGTGCTACTCTGCTTCTGGAAAAAGTGCGGGAAGGTGAGTTCCCACATGAAGAAATGATGGACTTCAATTAAAAAGACATTTAATAATTTTTCAACAAAAAGGAGACATTTAATTCGAGGAAACCCTTTAACAATAATTGGCATTTGCTGTTCATGTATAGGGTGCCGCATGATGTTAGTGGATGATTTTCAGTGTCAATATTTTGAAGAATAAAATGTGTCGATTTTTACAGGAGGGTATCACGGCAGTGGAGAAGCTCACTGCAGACATAATTCAAGAGACCCGTAAGATTCAGATAAAGAAAAAGAGTGATACCTCTAAATCTCAAAACCAGTTCTCAAATCTTGATGACCTCAGACAACCTACTGCACAGGCTCGTGTGCAACCTCAGATGCACACTAACTTGGAAACCCAACTGAATGCATCTCGAGACGTAAGGTTGCAACTATGTTGCATTTGTGTCAAAACCCGACTAATTTCGTAGACTAACTTGAGTTTTTGTTTGTTTTACTTTATTTAGTTATTAGAATGTAAACGAACCAATAAAATGCCATATTGCTGTGTGCCACTAACGAAAGCTAACTTTCAAGTATGTCAAAGAAATAATAATAGTATCCAACATTTAAGGAAACAACTTTTTCTTGTAAAATATTCATTAAAACTATGGTAACAGTTGCATGTTCTAGATATCTAGACAAAGTAAGGTAGCAGTGAACTTCGTGATATATAATAATTGGTGAGGCTCTTAATTAATAATAATCTCTATTGCACATGAGGAAGGAATACAGTCATCTGGAGCCTATTGTGAACCCTAGAGTAAAGCCTTTTTTGTAAGCACGAGCAATTCTAATATGCATTTTTCACAAACATATTATAATATAATTTTATAAGTTGCATTTTCTTCTTTTTACTTGTGCATTTTGTGTCCATCTAAAACTTTAGCATTGGCTCATTGTTTGAGAATCAGCTTTGGACATAACATAGAATTGCATGATGTCTGTCTGTTCTTAAAACCTCAGGTTGCAATGGCAATGGCTGCTAAAGCAAAACTTCTACTGAGGGAGCTGAAGACGGTCAAAGCCGATCTTGTGTTCACAAAGGAACGTTGTGGTCAGCTGGAAGAGGAAAATAGAATCCTTAAGGAGAGCCGAGAAAAAGGTGACGACCCAGAAGATGATGATTTGGTCAGTGAGACTCTCTCTAGAAGAAAAAGAGCTGACATATTTATATACCGTTCGAGAATTTTAGAATCATGTCAAAATATACGAAATATCCTCGTGTTCAAGTTAACCTACTTTGTTTAGGCCACACTTATCCCTCTTTAGTTTATCATAGAGGGGAGGTAAATTAAATAAATTACCTCCAGATTACATAATAAATAATTAAAAAAAAAAAACCTAATGCTGTCATTTTTTTTGCATAGTAAACTGTAAACCTCTTTATTTAAATATATTTTGATGTGTACTTTAGATAAGGCTGCAGCTTGAGTCCCTTTTAGCCGAGAAAGCTCGACTCGCCCAAGAGAACTCGGTTTATGCACGGGAAAACCGTTTTCTGAGAGAGATTGTCGAGTACCACCAGCTAACAATGCAGGATGTCGTGTACTTGGACGAAAGCAATGAAGAGGTCACAGAAGTGTACCCGGTCAATTTTGCAACACATGCGAATTTTCAACCGTCCGGCATAATACCCGCACACTCTTCAGCCTCTTCAGTTTCCCAATTGACTTCTCAATATTTGAATCCAGAAAATTAAATCCTTATGCCTGCTGGAGAAGCTGCCAGCCATCGAGAAAAAAAGGTTGGATTGTATCAATTGTAAGTAGTAACTGCTAATTTATTTGTATAAGTTATAAAAGGTGGTGTCATTAAGCTAAGTTTGCTCTTCATTGACTGTTTGTAAATTGTTGTGTTGCTGATTATTTTTAAATGTTCAGTCTCTAGTCATTGCAAGATAAAAGGGGGTGAAAAGGGTTCATGTTGTAATTTTTTTTTTTAGATAATTTTTTCCTTTTTTTGCTTAATTGTTTATTTCGGTGCTTTTTTTTTTAATCCGGTCACGTTAAGCCTGTTTCTTTGTTCCTGGCATTGTGATGATGATGGTTGAAAAACTGTATATTACACAGAGGATTAACCATTAGATCGCTTGAGGTAGAGATTATTATAACTTTGCGCTTTTTTTTATTTTTTATTTTGGGTCAAACGACCATAAATAGACACATTATTAAGCCATACATTTTTTCTTCATGGGTCATGGCATTGTCATGATGACGATAATTTAATGAGAGGACAAATCATTGGATGAGAGAGGTTGTAATTAGGGATTACTATAGCTCTATATATGAAAGAATTGGAAGAGACGGCGTTCCATGCACTTGAACTCGTGAAGTACTTACTTCACATGAGGATGAGTTTAGGTGCACTTTAGTGATGTTCCATGTCAAAATCAATTTGTGATGGAAGAAATAGTCACTAAGATTATAAGCTATGTACAATGGACTTTCTTTTATTCTAGCTACGTACAATGCACTTTCTTTTATTCTTGTCAACTAGGATTTTTTTTTTTAAATATTCATATTAAACTAATTTTTAAAATTATAGATTGAACAAGTCTTTTAGTTTCATGATAAACTGATTTTTAAAATTTTTATAGATTGAACGAGTCTTTTAGTAACATCAATATCTGGTGAACAAGTTAACAAGCATATCTCCTAAATATATCCTTAAAACTTGAAGTTTGTTATAACATCATATTATCTATGTTGAGAATGTTGAATGATAATTTTATATTATCATCAAATTTGATTGTAAATGTTAATCCACATAAATACAACATGTTGAGAATGTTAAATGATAACCATCATATTATCCTCAAATCTGATTGTAAACATATTTGACTCAAATCTTGATTTTAAAAATATTTATAGACTCATAGGCCTTCACGTATCCTTCAATCAGGTTTGTTGTATTTTTTTTTCTTTTTATTAGATTTTTAGGTATTTATATATATATATAGAGAGAGAGATTTCGGGACATTTTTTTAGTTATACCGTCAAATACACCTACTGACTTCAAACACTGAGCTTGACTACTCTTAAGCTATGTCACACAAATTTAGATCATAAGTTCATAACAGTACCCATTAAAGAGATAAATATTAAGACATTGCCTTCAATAATAACATGACATTTATTTTTTACATTTAGCAGTAGTGTATTGAAGATGCTCTCACAATTGATTTTACTAATATATATATATATATAGTTTCTAGTGCCATCTACCACTTTTGAGTTTTTAAATAAAATCATCATTATACCAAAATCAGATTAATAGGTATTCAAATCGGGTCCTGACCACATCACTTTCACGAAGAATAGGGGACACACGTCTCGAGTCAAAAGAGAGATTACATATTTACATTCTACGCCACGCCAAAAATATTTTAGAGTGATTTTATTAAATATCATAAACTAGCTTAATATCATTTTAGAGTGTGTTTGATAAGCAATATAAACTAACTTATAGTATATTTGATTAGTTTATAAGTTGCTTATATTCAAATAAATTTCGTTTGATAGGATTTTTTTTAAAGTTCGAGTTCATCTTATAAGATTTATTAAATTGGGTAGTTTTCTAAATAAGTCTGTTGAAATTGCTTATCAAGTAATTTTACCAAATAGTTTTATCATATAAGCTAGTTTTTCATCCATAAATCATAAGTTATCTGGTAAAAGCTCGAATTCACTTATAAACTATCAACTAACTTATTAGTTATCTGTTATTTTATCAGTTAGGTTTACTAAACATGATCTCAGTAGTTTACATGTCTACCATGGAAGTTGATACATTATTGGGTTTTCTTCATCAATATACACAAATATCCATACGAGTGTGTTGATTAAACAACAAACAAATCAATGGTTGTAGATATGAGTATGTGTTGATTAAACGATCAAAAAATTCGATAATTACACTGGAGGATGATATTTACCCATTATTTATATTTCCTGAAATTTAACCCATTATTTGCCTGATTAAGATATTTTTCAAAATTTTGTTGAGAAAATATGACCGTCAGCTAAAAAAATATCAAGTGTTCATGGTAAGTTTAAAATAAATGAGATTTTTTTATTAAGACTAGAAAAAGCATGTTTGGAATAATAATAAATAATAAAAACAAAAACCTCAAGCCAAAACAGCTGTTAAAGATAACACCGAGTGAGTATGTAACTAACCTTAACCAAAAAATAGTTATTTAATTTAATAATTGGAAAACCAAACATCTAAACTCTACATCACTAAAAAAATTTAGGACCTACTAATTCAAGTTTTTGTTCATTATAAAAAAAATTTCACATCTCTACAGATGGTGGGGCATATTTGCTAGTGATGGTAGCAAACAAAATAATTATCTTGACTGCAAAGACACGACTCTAAATTCAAGAACCCCCAAAACAAATATTTTCAACATTATTTTCTTTTTTTAAATATATTTTCAACATAATTGCTAGTGAGTATACAGCCTAGCCTGCACACGGTCCGCTGCCACTCGTGGTCCTTTTACATTCATGCACGGTCTGATCTCCCTGTGTCCGGTGACGTGTCGCGTCACTATTGGCTACCCCTTTTTGTTAGTAAAGACATCATCGTTGGGAATCTCCTCCGTCGAAGGTCAAAGACTCAAAGCTGTCAGTTAGCGGCTACAGTATGCATCTTACGAAAATTTCATTTCACCCCCTTTACTTTTCACTTCCAACAAAACCCACCATAAAAAAAAAAAGAAAAAGATAAGGGCTCGCTTCTTTATTAAATAATTCGTTCAAAATGAATTTTTTTTATTAGTTAGAGTTAATTTTAAAAAAGTTGATATAGTTAATAGTTGGTGAGATTTTAAGAATATGATAAAATAATATTTAAAATAAAATGATTAAAATTAATTTGACGTAAAAGTAGAAGATAAATGATTTAGAAATGATAGGTAGTTATATTTTGTGAGTGGATGAATAATGAATTAAAATTGATGTGATGTGTAAGAATAATTGTTTTGTATTATTTAATTTATATGAATAATATTAAGAATAGTGGAGTTGAGTTAGATTTTGAGTATGTATTAAATGTGAGCAAATTAATTTGTAAACAAGCATGCTTAAAGTGCATTTTTAAAAACTTTTTGAAAATTTAAAATATGATATATTTAATTTGAACTTTTTAAAAATATTTATTTAAGATTTCAAAAAATATTAGGAAACTTTTTAGGATTTTGAGAAGAGTCATTCTATGATTTGTACATACATGATAATAAGTACTCCTTTAAATGTTTGACATATATCATATTGTTTAGTTAAACAATTTAAAAAAAAATTGTATTATATTACTAAAATATATTTAATTAAAAGATTTAAGAAAATTTTAAACTATATTTTGTTTAAAAAATATTAATTTATTTATATATTACGCATAAGAATTTAGAAAAAAAAAAGGGTAAAAGATGACACTTTAAATTGAAGTCTTATATAAACTCAAAACATCAAATTGATTAAGATGCATTATTGCTCGTGAATTGAGGAATAAAATGAGAGTTCACCCATTAAATTTGGACAACTAAGTCGCCGATTGATTTTTTTTTTTATCTCGCTACCGCGCGCCGTTGAAAATTTGATAACTCGTCGACTGAATGATCGAAAACGATCGGGAGATAGAGTTTCATTACTTGTGAAAAGGTCTTTCTATAGTTATATGTAACACAAAGGCTGGATCTTCAATGACATTCTAACAAATTTAAAGCGTAATTCTTTGTTTTTTGCGAAAACTTTAACAATGATTTAATAAAATTGAGATATCGTCTGATGAAATTAAACATGCCATTGGAAAGAAAGTCGAGAAACACAAAACAATGTACGATTTATTGATATTCATAATTGGTAGGTAGACGACGAACCACAGTTGACATGTGGTACCGGCAATGGTGAGTGGCAGCGAAACAGTCGGATCTTCAATTATGAAGTGTTTTAAATTTAATTGCCTATATTTTTTTTTTAATTATTTTTACTTTTGTATACATGATCTTGAATTAAATACACTTTTTTATGCATTAAAATAGATTGTACTCAAAATTAAATAAGGATATAATAGGTGTTCCTCATATATTAAGTGTACGCAGCAATGTACGGGGCATTCGACATTTTTTTATATTACATTAAATGTATAATTGAGAGTGAAGTTTTGTTCAATGTAAGATGTAAGATATCTATTGTCAGATATGTAAGTAGTATCTAAAGAAGTCTATATTAAGAATATTGGTGTATTTAATTAAAATTTCTTAAAACTTTAAAGAATCTTGAGTTACTTATTTGATATTTATTTTTTTAAATCATGAGTTAATTAATTTATTTATCAATTAGATTTGTCATATTTTTGTAACTGAGAATTCCAAACAAAAACCGTATCCGAAACCTCACGCCAGATTTTATCTCCAATATTACCATAGATTCCTTTTTAAATCTAAAAATCTTAAACTTTTTTTTTTTTCTTAAAAGTAATTCGTTTGGATTGAATTTAGTTTATTGAATAAAAGCAAATAAAGAATAGAAAAAATTGTGTTTAATTTTGAGTTTGTAAGTATATATAAATTAAAATGTAAAGTTGTTTTAATATAAAAAGTAACATAATGAAAAATAATTGATAATTAAAAATATATGAAATAACGGTTCGTAAATTTTATTTTAAGTCATATAGTAATGATTGATTTATATAATTTAGTTATCTTGATAATATCAAGGATTTAGTTGATGTTTATGTTAAAAATGTTTATATTAGTTTCATAAAAAAATAACAAAACCTAACAAAATTTATTTCCAATCGATAGCATAAAAATTGGAATTATAAAAAAATCTTTAAAATCTCCTCAAAATTTCAACACGAGTATATAAATTTCATTCCTTAAATTCCAGATTCGAAAAAATCCCTTCTTTTCCTCTCACGAATCTCCTGCTATAGCTGCTCGTCGATCCATTTATCTATTTGTGTAGATTTTCCTCAGAATAAGGGTATGGTTATGACGGCGGCCAGAGAAATCTCATTACTGTTATTTTTGGGTTTCTTTTGATTAATTCTTTTTGGGCCCAAATGCTCCTTGCTTACCTCAGCCTAATCATCTGCTTTCAAGTGGCGGCGTTTGGGCAACAGCCGCCGAGTAGCATCCACTTTCGGGCGAGGGAGCTCGACTCCCTCCTTCAAGGCTATGCATTTAGGGCTTTTATCCGGCCGAGGACCGGCATTGTCTACGACGGCGCCGCGCCGTCCAATCTCACCGGAATTCGCGTGGCGGCGCTTCGGCTGAGGAGCGGGAGCCTCCGCCGGAGGGGACTTCCCGGATTTAAGGAGTTCGACATCCCCGCCGGCGTCGTCGAGCAGCCGTACGTCGAGAGGCTCGTTTTGGTGTACCACGATTTGGGCAATTGGTCCTCACTGTACTACTCCTTGCCGGGATACACCTTCCTGGCGCCTGTTTTGGGGCTCCTGGCGTACGACGCTGCCGATTTGTCCGCCGTGGATCTGCCTGAGCTCGACATTCGGGCCTCTGGAGATCCAATTTCTGTCGGGTTCCGCAGTATCGGGCCGGGCCCTAACTTCACGCCCACGTGCGTGCACTTTGGCTTGGATGGAAATGTGGTTTTTGACCGTTTCGTGAACGGCACTTGCTTGGTGTCTAATCAGGGACATTTCTCAGTTGTAGTTCAGTCCACGCTTCCTCCGGCGGCTGCTCCGGGCCCCTCCGCCGCCGGTGGAGGCGGCGGCGGCGGCGGCGGTAGAGTGGCGGAGGGCGGAGAGGGTAATCGGAGGAGAGTGTGGATAATTGTTGGTTCAGTGGTTGGAAGTGCTCTGTTCTTGGTTGTTTTGGTTAGTGTTTTGGGTTATGTGGGGAAGTATAGTCGCCCGAAAATGATCGGGCGGATGGAAGAGGCGGCGGAATTGGGGGTGCCGCTGCAGATGGCCAGCGTGGGGCCCACGAAGGCACCCGTGGCCATGGAGACACGGACAAGGCCAGTGCTCGAGAACGATTTTGTGCCATGAGAGCTTCTTGCGGATTGTTCCGGTAAAATTTGATTTGGGGGTACTTAATTTTTTGGTGTTTAGTATCGTTGGGTTTGATATTTTGTGTTATGATTCAATTT